ATTTGCAGTATAACATTTTTATTTTCAATGAATTTTACTAAATCAACTTTTTGGTAGATAAACGTATTAATTTATGGAGCAACATTATATTGAATAATTTTTTGCTCTCAAAATAATATTCAGACATTTCGAATTTTTTTTTGTTTTTTATTAATTTCTCTTGCTTTTTTTCATCTATTTTAGCTTATCTAATTAGGAAGAAAACTATATTATGTTGTATGTACATAAATATCTTTTAGGTTAATGAATTTTTATTTCATCTAATAAGCTAAATGACAGTCTTCTTATATTATTATATGCTTGTATTCTTCTTAATGCTCTTCTTCTACCTACAATCTAATATTATTACTTTAATTTGTATAGGTTTATATGTATAAATTTTCATATACATATACACATATAATATTGTATTTTATTTTTATATACAAGGAACAGAAAAAAAAATAATATTAGTTACTTATGAATATCTTCTTGTATCATAATGTTATACGCATCTGAAAAACTCTTATTAAAAACTTATACATTTATTAGCTATACGAGTATAAATTATTTAAGTACATACTTTTGTATAAATATAATATTATTATAGTGAAGGATATGTAAATTGTTATATAGGAATATATAGGTTAATTATAATAAGAAAAAAATTAGGTATCTACATAATAAGGTATAGGTACCGTATATATACGTAAGAAGAAAATGTAATTCTAATTACTAAGTTACTTAATTTTCTTTAAGGATATTTCAATGATAAAATTCCTTGTAGTTTTTTTTTTTGTTTTTAATTCTAGTTTACGTTTGTGTATTGTTGCTGTTTTTTTTTTATGTTTTTGAACATGATCTCTCTGATAATTACATTTTATGTAACATTTTTTTTTGTCTAAGTTCAAAAACAGGAAAAAAAAAATTTAACAAGTGGAAATGTAGGTACGGTTTTAATAGATTTCATTAATATTTTCTCGAGTATGTGTTGGAGAGGAACTGATATTTATTATTATTAATTTTTGATAGTATAATAAACAATTTCAAAGAAACGTCAAACTCTAATCATAAGTCATACGTCATTCTAAATGTTGAATTGAAAATATTCATGTTTTCAGCCTTTAAAAGAGATTCTGAATGAGATTCTGAAAATTTACTGCAAAAATACAGCGTATAATTTAGGAAATCAATGTGATGTGTTGATATTCGCAATGTATATTAATAGTTGCTTTCAATGTTTTGAATGGGTCGAATTGAATATTTTTGTGAAATTTTATTAGTTTCCCTTATACTATGTAATGTTGGAACTATTATGGAAGATGTTGGATCAATTACAATAAAAACAATTAAAAACATGTAGACTTCGGCTTTTGTGACATTCAGAATATGATGACAAGCATACGAAATTCGACATATAATTACAAGTAAAATAATACTGTACTAGTGCCTAAGTAAACACGACACATATAAAGCGGGAAAATAACGTATTTTCCATCACCATATTAGAAACTTTTATTAATTTTCTTGTTTTATATTTATAAAAATCTTAAGTTGCGTATTTTGTAATTTTGTTTTTTCTCCCCTATATACTTATTATTTAAGGTTAGTAGGGTAATATTTTTAGTAATTGACATTGAATAATCATTACTAATTTATTTGATACTAATATAATTAACCTTATAGTAGAAAAAAAACTTCGTTACTTTTTTAGACATTTACGATTTTACGATAATAACTTTTTTTCATAAAAAAAAAAAGATCCTTAGGAGGACTAAAGTAATTTTAAAGTAATTTTTCATAATTATTTTTAGTATAAAAAAAATAAGTAGTTATTTTCTTATAGATATTCAAAGTTTAAATAAGGTTAAAATGATGTTAAGTAAGATAATTTTTTTATAAGTTTTTAGAAAATATGATAATAATTATGTAGTTTTATGAAATATTATTTTAAAAATATTTAATATAGGTATGACAGTTTTTATATAAATATTAGTCTTACATTAAGAAAGAGTATTTAAGAAATTTATGGTGAATTGATTAGGTACCATATTGTAGATTCGTAGATTCGTACAACGGGGGCAACAGTGCACCGCGACCACGTATAAGGATTTATTTTGAGCCCCAATCCGAGTGCGCGGCATGCTCTACAACACACGCTTGAGACCCACCCTCCTGATGAACTCAAGCACCTTGTGAGGACCAGAAGACCGTAACTCCGCCACTGTTAGAGCAAAGTCTCCCAGCACCTTTCCCCTCCTATGAACAAGAGCATCACACTCCCCCAGGAGGAGCACCGAGGTCTTTCTATACTCCCCACAGAATCTGCAAGTATCCTCATAGGTACCATATACATGACACAATTTTTGTAAAAAAAAAACTATTATTAAGAATTAAAAAAATGGTTTCGATCTAAAATACTAGCATTTTTTAACTCATTTCGAATTTTATATTTGTAAAACAAAATATTTGACCTTATATTCAATAAAATTTGAATTGATTCCGTCCAGTTAGCTAGTGGTTTCCCATAATGTTATGGAAGTAGTATTTTAGGACGGTTTAGCTTTAATTTACTTATAGGTTATAATTTTTTAATTGCATTTAATTGCATTATGTTAGAAAAAATTCTTGGCTAGAGGATTTAGTTAATTATTTGACGAGATGCTCGAGACCATATGATTTCTATTTGACAAGACAATTTTCTATAATTGCAAGTGTTAAAAAAAAATAAGTCTTAAAAAAAATTCAAAATAACTTTTACTAAATTTTACAAAACAAAAATTCAAAACCATTGTAAAGGAAAAATATCAACTCCCTGTACGATGTATGATTTTACAACGCAGACGGAAAAAGCATAGTCTTTTTTAGAAAATTATTTTTTACTTGTGGAAAAACAGTATGTATGTGAACTACCAACTACATAAATATTACAGTAAATTTGCTTTCACAAAATCCATTTAACATTGCTTCAATGTGACTAATGCAGCCAAAAGCTATTGATTTTAAATAATTTAATAATATTGGTTTTTATATCTAATCTCCATGTGCTTATCAGCAACCAGCTGCCAGATCAAATATATTTGTATTCCATATTAAAATCAATCTTCTATCAATCATCTATCACAAATTCCAAATAAAATTTATTATAGAAACACAAATTATTATGGTAAAGAAAATTATTTGCAAATATTTACAATTATGATTTTTCAAAATAAAAAGTTTTACTAAAATTTAAAAGTTTTCATTAAAGTAAATTTGAGTGCCTTTCAAAATTTCATTAATTATCAACTCTTTACAAATCAGTTCCATATTATGGCATTAGGGATTAACACAGATGACATATTTGCCTAGTTTTTTTTAAGATTTTTTATACTTAAATAACAAAGTGATTTTAATTAAATTTCCATTTTAAGGAAATCAAAGTAAGAAAAGGAAACATTGTGTGTATATCAATTTGCATGAAAGCGATTTATTATAAGATTTGCAAATTTTTAAAATCTCAATGCTATTTTTATTTGATTGTGTATGTTAAACACCAAAATAATATTTTAAGTATTACTAATTAAATTCACCACACAATTATATTTTCTAATTTTATTTATCTAAGCAGAGTTTGCGTTCTGAGTGTTTAGTTTATGAGTTAATACTTTTTTATAACTAATGTTCACAGTTCAGCAATTTCGGAGATTCTGAGGTTTTAATTTCCCAAAGAATATAATTTAAACAAAAAAAAACAAATCAGATTTTGTATTAAAAAGAAATTTACAAGTTTTCAAAGTAGTCTCTAACTAATATACTGAATAACAGAGGAAGTGTTATACAAACTTTCAACATACAAATAATTTTTTTATGAATATTTGCAAGAAGATTTATTGAAGGCCTTAAGTTTATATTAAATGGCATTTTTTATCGATTCGTCAGAACAAGTTAATCTTAGCAAGAAAAGACTTTTGCGAAAAAAATATTACAATAATAGGCACAATGTGCAAAAATCAAGAGGTGCTGAATCCGAAAATCCATATAATTATAATCGTGAGAATTACTCCCCTCTCCTAATTCATCAGTTTTATAATTTACAAACCAAAAGACATTCCTAACCGAAGTCTTGTAAAATGACTATGAACTCAGTCGTGTATCAATCATATTGTTCTTATTAAAATTAAGGAGAGAATTTCAAACGTATACCACAAACGCAGTATAGATTTTCAAATAAAAAATTTATATTTTAAAAATTATAGATTTCTTATTACTACTTATACCTAAAAATATCTAATATTTTACAATATCTAAACCATAAAATCCTATGTACTTGTCAAACATGTTCTAAAATTTGTATTAGTTTCTACGAGAAACAGGATTCATATACATAGGATATAATGTGTACACATGACACAATATTAATTATAGTTACAACAAATCTAAAATACTCTAAAAAAGCACATTTATTTGCCAAAGAAGGCGGGCAATATAAATTTAAATTGCTGAAGATTTACAAGTTAAATATTCAATTGTATAGTAGTAGTAGTTGTAGTAACATCTCGAAGATTAATTTAATTGAATTCATTCTTAATTTCGTTTTTCTTCAGTTTTAATTTGTAATGAAAAAATATTATGTACATATAGATCTAAACTTTGACCTAACATAAACTAAAAATAAAAAAATAAAAGTTAAAAGAAAGATACTTGGAATATAATAATTTTTTATTTCCCAAGTTTTCCTTAACTTTTCATTTGAAATATTGTGATTCATTCAAATAAGAAATTATTGTTTTCTACAATTTAATGTTAAGAGTAAAGAGAAAAAAAAATGAACAAAAACAAAATAAAAAGGAAAACTTTTCCTTTTTGCCATAACTTGAAAATATTTTTATTGTCTTTATTATAATACGCTTTACTTATATATATGTATAATGTATATATATAATATGTACATATTATATTTTTATATATTTATAAATTCTGTGTAAAAATATTTTAATTTTCTTTCTCTTTTCCATTTTTTTTTTCTTTCTTTATTATAGTTATACCAACACTACAATTAGATTTAGGATCAAATCTTAATCCTGAAGATATTGAAGAAGGCGATGATGTTTATTTTGAATGTAAAGTTCATGCTAATCCAGCTGCATATAAAGTTGTTTGGAAACATAATGTAAGTAATGTATAATAAATATGTTTGTATAAATGTACAGTTAATTAAGAAAACAAAAATTTTTTGATATATCTATAGAAATTCTAATACGATAAGTAATATGTAGATGGATAAAGCAAAAAGAAAACACTTTAGAAACTTGAAAATATTAATTAACATTGTTTATGATTTTGTTAGATAAACTTTAGAAACCAATAATCAACTTATGTCAACAATTAATTAATGAATGGAATTTGGTTTGGTTTTTTTTTTTTGTTTTAGTACAAATTATAATTAAGTTTGTTTATAAGCCAAATTAGAAAATAATCCATAAATTTTGCCCATATAAATTTTAACCCTTTTATTCCTTTAGTTATTTTCAAGCGACTAATATTAATTGTGTGCATAATACTGACTCAAAAAGGAATATAAGATATTACGTTAATCCCCATAATTTAGAAAATTGGTTTTGGAATTACGTTTATTGTCTTGCCAGTTTTGCTATATACAACGCACTCTCTATTTGCCTCGCAAGAAAGTATTTCTCACGCAATTCTGCTCACGAAAAAGATTTGCTTTATAAAAGGAAAAGGATTTGGAGAAACTTACACAAAAATTAAAATAACTTTAAATTTCTTATTAGTACTTCAAAGAGGTGTGCCAAGTTTCAGAGTTTCAATAGTTTTATCCCTTTTCAAACTTTATTAATTTATTATTAAAAGATATTGTAAATTATTTCTGAAACAATTACTTGAGTTGAAAGAAAAAAGAGAAGATAAGTGGTGTAAAATAAGTGAAACACTAAAATCAATAATAATTGTAAACAAAGAATTATTTTTTACCGAATTGAATTCTAAATGTAGGCAAGAGGAGATTACTAGTAAATTTGATTGCTTTCAGTAAGCTCAATATTATTATTATCAATACAAAATTTAAACAAATTTAAATCGAAAAAATTCGTAAATTACTTTTATAGTTCATAACTAATATTTAAAATATTGTTGAAAAATTTTTTAAAAATCAATTGTCCATTAACTAATTGAGACACGCTATACTACTTATTTAGATAATATTGTTTTAAAATAAAATTTATAAATTCTTAGCTAGACTTCAGTAGATTTGGTATTAAAATGTAAAAAATATTATTGAAAACCGCAAAGAGATTCAAATAGAATTTTTGAAACTTCAAACTATTTTTTTTGAAATTATAAAAATTATTTTGGTTGCAAAAGGGTTAACAAATTGCAACGACAAATGATCCGATGTTCGGTCCGTTTATATTTTACGATATTTGGGCATCATTGAAATAAATTTTGATTTTTTTGTATCTTTCATTTTTATTAATTTTGCGCACATATTTTTACGAAAATATATTCTAAATATGTAGATATATTATTATATAGTATATAAATATTTATGTATATATATATATAAGTGAAACTGATTATTTTCATGCTGATGATGATGACGATGACAGTGATGATGCTTTTAATATTATCATTGCTTATTGCTTCTGTATAACATAAACTAATCCAATAATTTTTATGATAGCAGTGAAATGATAAAGTATAATACTTTGATGTTATAGTAATAATATTGTGTATATTTTGCAAACTCTTACAAAATATACAAACTTTTATAAATAGAAGATATAGCTCTACTATATTTATTTTATATAAAGTGAATCTTAGCTTGGATTATTGACTCTTAATAAAATTCTTGTTGACATTTTTGTTTGAATTAGAATTAAATGTTTCTGATAGCAAGAAAATTTTATTAAATCTCATTTTACTTGGCTATATATTATTTTCTTTTTGTTTTTCTTCTTCTTTTGGCTTGTGTTCTTCTTTTAAAGGATACATAATATAAAATAAGGATATTTTTTGAAGTTTTTCTTAGATTCATACACATAGATAACATTAAAGAAGAAGAAAGAATATTTTTTTTATTTTTTATTTTAATTTTTTTTTCTTTCTTATTTAATATTATGCTTGTTACTTTTATTCTTGTATTATTTCCGTTGAGATATTGACATGACATTCAGATGTTCTTAATCTCATGACCTTAAGGGGTTTTTTTTTTGGTTTTTTTCAATGATCTTTAAGAAGAACCAGAGATAAAATAATGTTATATTTGAGTTGAATTTACTGGGGTTATTAAATTAATTTTAATAATGATTTTTTTGTTTTTTTAAAAGCACAATCTTAAATATTAGTTGTTTATTTTATAGTTAAAAATAAAATATAAGAAATATTTTTGACGTTTTAAGATCTCCAATGGGGTATTTAAAAAAAAAAAAAAACTTTTAAGAAGAATACTATCTCTAAGTTTTACGTTTTATTCTTTGTGAAATCTGCTTAATTTGTATTGAAGAAAATTAAAGCAAATCATAACTAAAATTATTGTGATTTTAATAATTTAAATGAAAATTGTTATTATTTGTTTAACTAATAATACTAGTTTAGAAAAGGCTGTGAGCATCAGTTTTATTAGAGTTAAAAAAATCTAATGTGGTCAGCAAATTAGATTTAATCGAATTACATGTATATTTTTTACATTTTAATTTTCAAATGAAAATACGGAATGAAAATGCATTTTGCATATATTTATTTTTAATTTTAGAAATGATTAAATTACCTTCACTTTAATAGAGATTCAATTTCTGAAATTCGATTTTTTTGAAAAAATTTACAATTTGTCAATTATGAAAAAATTGACAAGTTTTGTTGATATATTTCGGATATTATATAGATTTCAAGAAAATCAGTTGACCTTTCTTATGGTCAAAATGTAAGCATCTCATTTCTGAGACTTAACGTATCAAAAAACTTGTATGAAATCTTGTTATAATATGAAAACCAGGTATAAAATTTCCAATAAGATATAAATTTTCATGAAAATCGTTTCAGTCGAACTTAAAATCTAGAGCTGCACAGAGACCAACAAGCTCACCGATACTATTTTGTTTAAAATAATTTTTCTGTACTGCATTAAAACATACAGTAATAAAAAAAAATATGAAATGCGGTCCCCTAAAAGTATGCAATACTATCGAAAAAAATATTATGCTAATGTTAAACTGTATACGAATATTTTACATCGCATATTTGAATTTCATAAGGTTATTAAACAATACTAAAATTATATTGCCTTGGTTTTGATATTTGTTGCGGTAATCCAATAAAGTAAATTCATTTTTTTTTCCATTTCTAAGGTAGTGTAAAAGCAGATAGCTCTAATACAAGTAGAATATTAGAAATTTTACCATATTCACAATAAAATTACATCACCTATAGCTTGTTCTTCGATTTTATTGAAATATTTTTTTGCACTAAACAGTAAAAGTAGCTACTGACATGTGAAGAGTTGTACGTTTTTATTTAAATATTTTCGCAAAATGAAGGAATACATTTTTTGAAGTATGTCTATTCGAATTGGGATTCCCAACATACAGTGCTTTATTACAGAATAAGATATACTCTATATAAATAAAAACAAAGATAAATAAAAACAAAAGAAATATGGTTAAAGATTTCAGTTGTTATGATCATTATTTGATATTATATGATTTGAAAAGCTACATCAAACAGGATCCTTAAATTATGATTAAATAAATTTTTGATCAATCATTATTGATAAAATGGATTTCTGAAACTTCAAGAGGATTATTCTTTATTTTCTTAAAAATAAAGAATAATTATCTTGAAATCTATTGGATCAGTATGTAAGTCAATAAATCAATAAAAAATTTAATTGTATTTCTTCTTTATATAAACATACTTACTTGCCAATAAATTTTATTCTATAAAATCTGAGCCATACTGAATTTCTTAAATCTATATCGTTAATATTAGTATATGTAGTGTCTATACATAACTATAATCTACAATGAGTCTACTAAGCAAAAATCTTTCAAAATTGTCATTCACTAAAAATATTAAAACTGTTTGATTTTTTTTTCAATTAATTTTTAAAGTTTTTACAAAATTATTCAATCAACTTATTTTTAATAGTTTTACTTCACAAGAATACCAAGTAAATAATAAAAATTATAAAATATTATTTTAACAAAATATTAAATTATTACAAATTTTAACAAAATAAATATAATAAAAAGACAAAGTAATAATCAAAAACAAACAAAATAAAAAAAAAAAAACAAAAAACGTAAATTTCCGTCATCAAAATATTGCCATCTGTAAAATTGAACAAAATAGAAAGTATTATTTTTTTCTCTCTCCTCTTTCTCTTTCGGTTTTTTTAATCAGAAAAACAAAACTAAAAGAATCGTCATTTCCTAACATATTATAATAAACAAAAAAAAAAATGAGAGAAAAATAAATAAATAAAAAAAATTACTGCTGTTTTCTGTACTCTTCCTTTTTTACCGTTTTTGTTTTTTTCTTTTGTAATTTTCAATTATTTTGTCGTTGTTATTCTCGTTTTGTACCTTTTTTCATGTTTCTGTCTTTTCTATCACGATCTTTCTCTTTTATTTCTTTTAATAGCAACAAACCCTAAACAATGAACTCCACCATCATATTATAGCGTAAATGCTCCACAATCACATACCTAACCTAAATAATGTAGTATGTGACTGGTGTAGGTATTCCTCCCTCAATGAATCTGTTTATTTTAATATTATATTTATATAATGGTATATAGTTAGCAGTTACAAAATGTTTAAATGTAAGAGAGAAATAACATTCAGTTGTTTTCCGTTTGCAACTAATCTCTTTCCATATTTTTTTTTTGCAACATTTTTATAGTGTTTTCCTTTTGTTTCATGTCCTGACAATAAACGGGAAACATGAAATTCGCTTTTGTATGCATTAAAAATATACATTTTAATAATATAAATAATAATTTGAAGCAGATGGTTGTTACCTTTAAAATGGAACGTTTAACTTAAATTCGTTTAGTCAGTCAGTCAGGTTTTGTGTAGAAAATATGATGTACATAATTAGGGTTACCATAAACTGATTTTGATTGAAACATGATTCGTAGATTCGTAGATTCTA